ACAGGAAGCCCCTGCCCCAGGCTTCCTGGAATCAGCCGCTGATCAGTTTCAGCAGCAGCTGACTTGGGGATGCCTGGGGTTCTTAAGTTGAATCTGTATGTAAGTCAGAACTGGCATCCAGGTTCAGCCGCTGCTGAAACTGATCAGTTTCAGCAGCAACTGAATCTGGACGCCAGTTCCGACTTACATACAGATTCAACTTAAGAACATACCTACAGTCCCTATCTTGTACGTAACCCGGGGACTGCCTGTAATCTATAAAAGGTGCTACTGAGATTTCATCTAGACTACCACATACATTATTGAGCTCTGCACCCTAAGAAATATCTTGACAAATTAGATTAATAGAAGATCAATAAATAATTAAAAAGCTGAATAGACAGATTAAAATCAAAATGTGCATGACATGTCCAGATAGCTACTAAGACAACAATTCTTGGAATTTACATTCTTCAAAGAAGAATTAGAGTAGTGCAAAGAAGTATGAGAATGAATAATGGGATGAATATGTTCCTCACTCTGTGTGTGCCAAAGATGAGAATTATTGGATTGTAATTGTTTTTTACTTGACTCATTTTAAAACTGGATTGGACAAAACTTGAAAATACAATTTAGGAAGTAAATTAGCATTGCCTGAGATGTAGATTTTTTGGGGGGATGTCTATACTGCAGAGAAAATTCAGATTCTGGGTCTGTTGAATTGGGTTGTTTGAACCTGGGATTCTGGGCAAAAAACAGCAATGTAGATGTTTGGGTGTGAGCTGGAGCCCAGGCTGTGAAATATGGGGGGGATGGAGGCGGGGGGCTCCCTCTGCATCCAATCAAAGTGCTTCTATGGTTCAATAGGCACTCCCTGCAAATTCTAAGTATGCAAGTGCAGTTAGTAAAATTAGCCTATCTCTGGAGACTGTCTTGGTTACAAAAGTTTTTCAGCCCATTCAGATGGAAAGCCACTCTTGTGGTCCGCTCACTAGCCTAGGTTGCCAATTGCTCGTCTAGACCGTCTTTCACAGGTGTCTGTCTGTCTAACCTGTTCTTAAAAATCTCCAATGACAGAAAGTCTACAACTGTCCTAGGTAATTTTGTGCTTAACTGTCTTTACAGTTATGAAGTTTTTCCTGATGTCTAAACTAAATTGCCCTTGCTGCAATTCAAGCCCATTATTCTTTGTTTGATCCTTTGAGGATAAAGATAATAATGTATCACTGTCCTGTTTATAACAACTTTTTGCCTACTTGAAAATATTGTAATGTTGAAATGTATCATAACTTCTGCTTCTCCCCCAATCCGTAAGTCTTGTCTCCCTATTAAAGAAGAATATTGGGTTGACTTGTGCTTGAAAAATCCATCTTGATTATTACTTTTCACTTTATTATCTTGTGCTCACAAATTGTTAGATTGTGTTCAATTTTCTTTCTGGGAACGGATGTTAAATTGACTGGTACATAATTCCCTGCATTGTTCTTATTCCTCTTCTTATTGATAGGTGCTATATTAGCCATTTTCCAGTGCTCTGGGATTGCTCCTGGCCTCCATCATCACTAATTTGTTGATATGTGGAAATTGGGTAACTGTTCCCACACACTCTGAATATATAGCTAATTGATACATGTGGTAAAATGTTTAATATGGATAAACAACAGGGGTTTTCTCAGTAGAGTGTTTACATATTTTCTCCCATTACCTGGGTTTTGTAAATTTGACTATCTAGTATTTAGTTTACTATGATACTGAATGTGGCCTTATTGTCAATTGATATTCTTATTTGGAAGGGTTATTTTTAACTGTGAATGATTTCCTTTGCATGAAGTGTTCCTCTCTGTAAATGTAATTCTTGTACTGTTCAATCTTCATAAAGAGTAACACATTAATTCCCTGACACTTCATACAGCATTAAGCGCGTGTGTGTGTGTGTGTGTGTGTGTGTGTGTGGTGAGAGGGACAGAGAGAAAATAATTAAAATAGATCAGTTTGTATATTTTTATTTTTACTAGCACTTTAGTGCTATTTTTAGTAGCTCCTAATACTTTGTACTGGGTTTTTTTTTTCTTTTCTGTTCTTTCCTCTTCATTTGCCCAAACACAGCTGAGTTCACAAGAGGAGAAAAGAAAACATGATACTGCTGCCAAGCAGACAGGAAACTGTAGTAGACCTTACAAGCAGTAAAGGGTTTAAGCACGCCTTCCATCCAATCAGCTGAGAGTGCTGTTGCTATGTGCACTCTTACTCTGCCTTCTTTGTGGAAAAAAATGTCTTGCACAGAGAGGCTGAATATGCACCCAAAGCTGAACATTTTGTTTTAACCACTGCAGACATCTGGATCCCTCAGATACTGACAGTGTAGCCCATTTGCAGCTAGGAGGCAACTTCTTTTACACAAGGATTCCAGTATGGTTTTCAGTGGAAACAAAGAGCTACACAGAGAAGGTGTGTAATTGAATGATATAATTTTAAATGTTTAATTTTTTTTCTAGTTTTGACTAGATGTTTGTGATGGTGGGTACTCCTTCCAAATGGAGATAGAATTTTTACACCTTGTGATTAACTGTCAGCTTGAAAATAGTAAATTCACATGATTTACATTAAGTGTGTACACACACACACACACACTCTGTTAGTCTGTAAGGTGCCACAGTACAACTTGTTGTTTTTAAAGTTACAGACTAACATGGCTAGTCCTCTGAGACTTATTAAACATTTGTGTTCTTTTTCATGAACTCATACTAGAAAAACAATTTTGATTATATTATTGATCTGTACAAAAAAAGGGTAGGAGCAGGCAGGATGCAACAAAAGAAAGAAAGGCCTGTCAAGCACCATGGTGCTGCTTTAATGTGATACGGTTTTAAAGATAATGAGATGGAGCTGAGGAGAGAGACTGGAACAAATAAATTCTTCCTATTATAGCACAAACTTGTTTCTAAATGATTATAGACTCTTTCAGAGCCTCCATTGGTACTAAATTTGACAACATGAAAAAGTAAGCTTACTGACATTTTTTCTTACGTTATCAGCTTAAGAATTAAATTTTGAAAATAAAAGTTTCAAATGTTTTAAAAACACATTAAATATATGCTTTACCGAAGAGAGATTTTTCCCTTTCACTTTATAAATGGACCCAATGATGCATCCATTCAGAGTAATTAAGGTGACAGGGTTTTTAAAAATTAATTTGCCATATGAATCTTTGAAATTTGATCCAGGGAAACCTAATTTACCTGTTTATTTAAAAGAAAAGGTGAAGATCAGAATTACATTCTACAAAATGTCCTCTGAATTGTGAGGGGCAGGAGAGATGATTACTTTTTGTGGCTTTTTAAAGTGGACATCTGATATAATATTATGTCTACTAATAACTATGGAATAGTTACTATAGCCATATCTAACTGCTCTGATTTATTTTTGTTCTTTAATTTGGAGTGAAAATACAAGTTAGTTGAATGTATGATTCTTTTGTGTCCTGTTTTTGTTATGTAGATCAAGTTCCTTTAACAACACAAGGAAAGTATTACAGTACTTTCATTTGTGCTACTAGTAGAGTGCATCACAGTATTGTTAGTCTTTTGTCATGATTTGCTTATCTAAGGGGAAAATAACATTTTTATAAATAAATGTCCACTGTTGTTTAATGATGTAATTGCTCTAGCTCAAGTACCGAATAGAGGATGTTGGTATCTTTCATTGTATGTAATAAATTCTCAAAAGATGCCAAAGGTATAAAGGTTACCTAATTACATATATGATTGTTCTGTGTGTTGGACTTGCTGATGTTGTTGAAAGGGCCAGAACTCTGATTTTAAGCAAGCTTTTTTTAAGTTAAATGTTCAATCACTGCTTAAGAATGAGGAGGAATAGTCCCACTGGTCATCTTGTGGCTTGTGAAAGGATGTCTAATGTGAGTCATTGAGGAATATTGTTGTAGGAAAAGAATAGCAGAGAAAATTAGAGAAGCCTCAGTGAATCTTGCAGTCCTTTTAATTTACCTGACTAATACCTGTATTTACAAATATTTTCCCTAAGATACTATTATGTTGTCTTGTGAATACTGCAGAAATGTAATCTGTGTGTAGCATAATAGAATCCTTTATAAAAAAGAGACTGCGTGCAGTTAATATCCTTAATTTTGTCTCCTGACCATTTTAAAATTAAATCATATATGTAGATAAAAACAAAATCAATTGTAGATTAATTTGAGTGAGGATTTAGGAGCGGGGACATTGGTACATACAAAAAGAAACTCAAATGAGGTTTTACTGAGATCAAAACCTCATTATCCGTAAAGGGTGGCAGACAATGAAAAAGAGGATGGAAGATAAAGTACTGGGGAATTGAGTATAAGTGTAATGTTAGTACTTGGCTTAGACCTGCTGTTGAGATGTAATAAAATGAATTTAACCAAGGCAGGAGACAATGGCTACCATTTAGGTAAGCAGAGCCAATTTAATTGATTTCTCCCCCTCCCCCCAATAATACATAAATCACGTTGCCATGTAAGAGTTAATTTATATTATATAAAACTACTCAATTTATGCTGTAAACGCACTGTATTTAAAAATGGCACCTACTAAACTAACACCCACTATTTTGCACATATAGATCAACCTACGATAAGGAAAAAATGGTAAAATAGAATCTTTAAAACCCCCATTGGTTTAAGCAGTAGAAATTTTGATCCTATGTAGCTTTAGGCCTCCTGAATACTGAAAGACCTTAAATGCCAATTACATTTAATCACTGGGTCACAGGAGCTTATAAAATAATTTATATTATGCCGTGTGAGACACAGTTCATGATATTTTTTTTTCATAAGTTTCTCAATTCCTGATGAGCTAAGAATGTGTCCTACAGTGTCCTTTGGCCTGCCGTTTTCCCAGGATGGAGTAAACTACAAATATTTAAATACAATTTATTGAAAGTGAATGTAGTCTGAAGGCATGTCTACAGTGCATTTAAACGCCTACAGCTGGTTTGTTTCAGCTGACTTGAACTCGGGCTATGAGTTTAATTGGAGTGTAGACATTCAGGCTGGAGCTAGGGCTCTGGATCCTCCAATTTGTGCAGGTTCATAGAACCTAGGCTCCAAGATAAGCCCAAATGTCTACACCACAATTAAACAGTTTCTTACCTTGGGTTCGCAGAACTCAGGCTAAGTGATACAGGCCAGCTGGAGATGTGTAATTGTAGTATTGACATAACCTGAGAGGCTAGTGAGATTTTTTTTTTGTGAAGTCTGTTCTAAGAAGACTCTTATCCCTGAGCATGCCGCAAGATCAGTTACAGACTGAAACAAGTTAGGTGTAGGTTGTAACGTTAGACAAGGATTTGGAGGGGGAGGGAGGAGGAGTGGCTTTGAATGAGGGGAGCCAGGGTGAAGGCAAGTTAAATATAGAAAGATGAAAATAGCTCTCTTCTCTAAAAATGTGTATTGCAGCAAACAAATGGGGTCCATAGTCTACCTGACTTATTTCCTGTGACCTAGTTAGTTCTCTGTGCTCATCCCTCCTAGTGACTTCAGCACTCCTTGTTGCTCTTTTCTAACACAGCTGTCAGTAAAGGAGTTCTCCATGCAATTGTTATGTCTAATTGTGTCATGAAGGCTGCTTCAATATTACTCAAGGGATTTGAGTCTTTTATCTCATACTTAACCTGAATACAATCTGTCTGCTTAGTGTCCTTTTTCTAATGAATTGTCCATTGGAGGGAAAAAACTTTCCTTTTTTGGCAACAGAGACACTCTGAATCACAAATGTTCTCTTTCCTTTCAATAACTTCTTTTTAATAATTTTTAAAAGGCTTTTCCAAACAGTGCTGCTGCACAGTCAGCTTGTTTCCCTCCCCCTATTTTTATCTTGCAGGAATTTAGAGAGAAAGCAGCTTTAGTAAGTGCCTGGTAAAGTAACACAGTGCCCCAACAGACAAATATAACAATACTAGGAAAGAATTGTGGTCTTGGTACTTCATCATTTTTTTTAAATGATTGTCAAGGAATTCTGAAGGTATCTGTTGACTAGAGGGCGGTTGATACACAGTTGATTTGGGCCAAGTCTACACTAGGGATGTAAAATTTCGATTAATTGGCTAATCGAATAGTCAGTGCAATTTGCATCATCTATTGGATTAGTCAATAAGGGCGCTTCTGCCTTTAAAGCGTAGCAACAGCTCCAAGGCTGTTGCTACACACTTCAAAGGCAAAAGCGCTTCAGGTGACATGGGGCCAGGGGGGGACTCAAACCATGAGTGAGGAGGAGTGGAGGGACAGTGAGAGGAGAGATTGGAAGGAGAACACATAGTGGCTGCTAAACATTATGGAACTGTAGGCAGACATGGTGCAGGCGCTGCTATCACTGCAGATGGAGCAGCTGAGTGACCGCCTGCCCCCTGCAGCTGGTGTCCCAAAATTCATTCTCTCTCTCTCTCACACACACGCGTACGTCACCACTACCCTGTCCCTGAGCAGCATCCACCACATTCCACACCTGCCTACCCAACCTCCACCCATTCAGACTCCCACAGGCTTTCAATACACTCAGCACCCATCTGTGTGCAGTCTAGCTCTAATGAACTGCAGTCCCCCTTGCATAGCACATCAGATGATAGGGCTGCATATGAAACATGGACATATACAAATCTGTGAAACTCTCAGGGCATGCCTCATCTCCTGCCTCTCCCCCCTCCCCCTTTATCTCCCACCAAGTGCAGATGTTTCATGCTTCACGTGTGTTCTACATTTACTGTGTTTTACAAATGAAATTCATGCGTTTCAAAGCAATCTTTATTCCATTACATGAAAGCAAGTGAGTATATGCCAGCTAAACTATGGTCACTGTAGTGCTAAGTGCAGTGCAAGGACCAATCAAAGCAATCCCCTAGCAATGGAGCCACAGCACTCCCAGGCATAGCAACAAGTTTTACTGACTTTCAGAATTAAAATTGCTGCCTCGAGGCAGCCCCACACTGTGTTCCTCTAATAACCCTGGTCTCTGGCTGTTCATATTTGGCTTCCAGGCACTGAGCCTCAGCAGTTCAGCCCTAAGTGAGGCTTTCACCCCTCCCTTCACAAATATTATGGAGGGTACAGTATATGGTGATAACCATAGGAATGTTTATTGGTCAGATCCAGCTTCCCATATAAAAAATACCAATTGGCTTTCATATGGCTAAAAGCACACTCAACAGTCATTCTGCACCTGCGTAGCTGTTATTGAATTGCTCCTTGCTGCTGTCAAGGCTCCCTGTATATGGATCACAAAGGGTATTTCCACTTCTTCCATGATGATCTTCTAGTCTGGGAAGAGTTCCCGCTTGCAGCTTCCTGAATAGGCCAGTGTACGTGAAATGTCTACTGTGATCCAAAAGCGCCCTGCAGGACCATGGAGAAATCCCCTTGCATTAATGTACTCAGAGGCTAGATGATCTGGGGCCATCTA